TAAAGTTCACTGGTGTCCTCCGGGGACAAGGGGCAAGATCTGTGCCTGCCTATTCCCACTTTGTGATTCATCGTATTACTGTCCAGGCAAGTCTAGTTTTTCCTTAGAGTGGCATCTAGCTTTCGGCAAGTTCCTATTTCACTGAATAAACTAAATAAACTAAACGCTGTTTCACTTGGCCAAGGCGCACCAGTGTGTCTTCATAAAAGATAAATAGCGAGGACAGTACACAGCAATGTGGACCTGCCTCAAGGCTGGTTCCTTCTGTATTCTGTTATTCTTTTTTTTTTTTTTTAGGATTTTATTTATTCATTTGAGACAGATACAGAGAGAGAGAGAGAGAGAGAAAGCATGAGCAGGGAGAGAGGCAGAGGGCGAGGGAAAAGCAGGCTCCTCGCTGAGCCTGGAGCCCGATGTGGGGCTCGATCCCAGGACCCTGGGATCATGACCTGAGCTGAAGGCAGACGCTTAACCATCTGAGCCACCCAGGCGCCCCTGTATTCTGTTATTCTTAAATCTGTAGCAATGAATTTTTGCTTGTCTTCTTTGGAGGGTGAGAGGATCTCTTACTCTCTTTTGGATTTGGTATCGTTGGGCTTTGCTTCTGCTCCTCCCTTGGCAGGAATGCATCTTTTCCCAAACCCTGAGGGAGGGTTAATTTGCTGCTTTTGTTTTCCAGAAGGGATGTGGGTGGGGTTTTGTGCCCCTCCCCCAATAGTTGGATACCGGACTCCCCAGGGGGTTTCTCTCAAGTCTCTGCCTCCAGCTTTCTTATGAAGAAAAATTTCTGATGGGGGTTCATGGAAAAGAGCTTGTGAATGAATGTAAACTCTTTGTATCTGAGGCCTCAAGCTATTTCAAACTGACGTGCCAGCCCACACTTGGCCTTTACGAATTCATTAAAATTTTGACTGATTTCCTCTTACCCACTTGGATGGCGTCACCTTTCTCCTATGCTTTACCAAAGGTGAAGGAGCTCTTGTGTTCCATCTACCTTTGGGGACGCTCGTTTTGATGGAGCAGAAGGCTAGCTGAGGACAAAGCAGAAGCTGACACCCCGCAACCCGCGCACCCCCCCCCCAGGATGTTATGTGACATTCCTCAGGCACTCCTGGCTGCCCTAAAGGGAAAACAAACGGTTAACTGATAGAGATCACAGTCTTGCAGGACAGGAGTCTCCCTCAGTTTACAAATGTCCTAGTGATTTACAAGGAAGAAGCTTTCTCATCAATAGCCTAACCTCCAGGAGACCCATAACTCAGTTTCCTGAAGCCCTAACATCACCCTCCCCTCCATAAAATTAAGGGAGGCTGAGGCGGAAGGAAATGTAAATAAAATTGGATTTCTTTTGAACCTGAAGCCCAATGACAGGTGGTACGTGTGATAGGAGGAACGTAACATTCCTCCAGGAAACTGCCAGTTGTCTTCCTGTTAGTGCCCCATTAGAGGGGGAAATAGCCTTGGCTTGACAATAACCAGGCCTCCAGTATCCTGAGAGTCTTTAGCATATGACAGTCCTTCTGGACACCCCCTTTGTCCTCACCTCCCCAACTCCTAGGTATATAATCAGCCACTCCTCAAGACCACAGGGCAGCAGCTCTTTCTGCCCACGGGTCCTGTCCCCGTGCTTTAACAAAACCACCTTTTTGCACCAGAGACATCTTAAGAATTCTCTCTTGGTCGTCGGCTCCGGACCTCACTTATATTCTAAAACTTCATCAGTTTCTCTTCGGAATTCAGTTTACTTGGGTGATTTGCAACCTTAGCCATCTGACAGGCTTAAGAAAAGCTATGATTTTGTAGATGATCCAGTCTGTTCTCATCATGTGGGGAGTGACACTCTTTTGTAGCTTTCTACATTCTAAGCCTACTCCACACATCTTTTTTGAATGCACACTATGTGCCAGGCATGTTCTAGGTGCTGGGGACAGAGGTAGACAAGACAGACCTGATCTCAATACATTTATATTCAGCTGAAGGGAGGAAATACATAGTATTACATACTGTATTAGGTGGTAATAAGTTCTACAAAGAACACTTAAGCAGATGAGAGATGAGCCAGTGATGTGCATACACAAACAGTATTTTTCCTCCCATAGACTCTGTACTTCATTGCACTTTTTTCCTTCTCCTTGTGATGTTGTTTTGGAATGTTGCTGGGGACCGGAGCCGACGGCCAAGAAAGAACTCTTGAGACATCTTTGGTGCAAAAAGATGATTTTATTAAAGCACCGGGGCAGGACCCATGGGCAGAAAGAGCTGCTGCACCAGGGTTGTGAGGGGTGGCTGATTACATACTTGGGAGTTGGGGGACGTAAGGAAAAGGGAGGTAGCCAAAAGGACTTTGCTATACTAAAGAAGATTTACATGATAACGGAGGCCTGGCGATTGCTGAGTTAAGGTTGCTTTTCCTTCCAGTAAGGCATTAACCTGAAGACAGTTGGGAGCTTCCTGGAGGAATGTTACACTCTTCCTATTACAAGTCCTTGTCAATAGGCTGCAAGTCTTAAAGAAACTTAACTTTGTTTATATTTCCTTCTGCCTCTGTTTCCCACATCACTCATGGACGGTGAGGTTAGGGCTCCAGGAAATTGAGTTATGGGTCTCTGGAAGTTAGGCTATTGATAAGAATGCTTTTTCCCTGTATATCACTAAGACGTTGGTAAACAGATGGAAACTCCAGTCCTGCAGGACTGTGAGCTTTATCAGTTAACCATTTGTTTTCTTCCCTTCTCTTAGTTTTGGGGCAGCTAGGAGTGCCTGAGGAATGCCACACGTATCTCACGGTGGGGGGGTGGGGGTTGGAAGGGGTTGTGGGGTGTCAGCTTGTGTTTTGTCCTCAGCTTGCCTTCTGCTCATCACGTGGAGCAGGGAGCCCGATGCGGAGCTCCATCCCAGGACCCCGAGATCATGACCTGAGCCGAAGGCAGATTTCAGCTCCAAATAGTCATCATCATTCCCATCAGAAAGGATATGACTGTTCCTCATAAAAATGCCCGGTGTTCTGTGTAGGGCCAAACTAGTATCAAGATGGGGAAACTGAAAGGACCCCAGGAGAAAAACTGCCTTTTTCCTCCTTTTCCTGCTTCGGCTCTTGCTAGGATGTGCACCCCCGCCTTATACATGCCTTAATATACGTCCTCTTTGTAATGGTCAAGGAGTTAATGATTTCTTTGGAGTCTTCCGGCACGACAGATAACATCATCCAAGGAGTGACTGGGAGGGGTCATCATGTAGGCTTTCCAAGACCCGACTCCAGATACCTTGATGCCAAGATCCCTGTCTCCAGGGCATAAGTGACTTATGGAGAACACCGGAGCCCTTGTCCTTGTTTTGATTGACGGGTTCTGGGATGCCTAAGACAGGTACACCAGACCATGATCCTCAATAAAAACCCCAACCCCAAGCAAGGAACTCTCTTTCCTTTCTGAGTCTCCCAGACACTGTCTGCTGTGCTTTATCACTTACGCTATTTAATAAACTTTGCTCTTACTTCCTCTCAGTTCACATTTGATCTCCGTCCTGCACAAAACCATGGACCCTCTTGGCTGGTCCCACGGGACTCCCTCTGGGTCCTCGGACAGGCCAGCCTGCATCACTATGACAGGACACAGACTACAAGAGTATATACTTTGACTTAAGAACTTTCAGTCGCAGCTATCTGCAAAGTAACTTAATTGTTCTGTTAGGCAATACATTTCCCTTCCTTGGAAAAGTTCCAACCCTGGGTTTATCTGAGCCCACCTCCTTGCAAACTTCCAACTTCCCCCCAGGGCATCTAACCAGACAGGTTGAAAGAGCATTCCTAGCTTCTTTTTTTTTTTTTTTAATATTTTATTTATTTATTTGACAGAGTCACAGCAAGAGTGGGAACACAAGCAGGGGGAGTGGGACAGGGAGAAGCAGGCTTCCCGTGGAGCAGGGAGCCCGATGTGGGGCTCGATCCCAGGACCCTGGGATCATGACCTGAGCCGAAGGCAGACGCTTAACGACTGAGCCACCCAGGCGCCCCAAAAGGGCATTCCTAGCTTCTAAAAGCAGAAAAGCACTGTCAAAGGCTTTTCCGGGGCTCCCCCGGGGAAGCTGCTCTCCCCCCGTTGCTCAGCACCGATTCTTTCTCTCTAGCCCCATTGTACAGATGAGCAAGCCCGGTTTTGGAGAAGAGAAATGACTCGACCAAGGTCACCGAGCTAGAAAGGAGCGGGCTCAATCAGGCTTGGAGCCAAGGTAAACCTGTTTTCCTTGCATTGCGCCACCGAACCTCAGGAGACATTTTTCCAGCGGCTCCACAGCCACGACAGTAAAAGAGGCACCTTTCTCCACGAGTTCGAGCCCTTCTGTAATGTCAGCCACAGGGCGGGTCGCAGCCCGGGGCGCGGGGAAAAGTCCCGCGGCTTTTCTGGTCTGTGTTCACCAGTTCGGACTAAGCCTCAAGAGAACTGCTCTCTCTCTGAGCTGATACCCAAACAGGTACTTTAAGAAAAGCAATTTTCGGGCGATGAAAGCTTCCCACCCAGGGCTCGGCTTTAGCTTAATGCAAAAAAACACAAAAAACAAAAAACGCAGGGGTGGGCACTAGCGAAAAGCGGGCGTCCGGAGGTGGCGGGCAGGTCCTTCCCCTCACGTTTCCTACTCTGCCACCTGGAGGGACTGGTTCTGTGCCCTCACGAGGACGGGGTGAGAAGACCTCGGCCAAGCAAGCAGTCCGTCGGTCGAAGTGGCGATCGACCAGCCCAAGTGGTGGCGGGTCCCACGGCCGAGCGCGCGGGAGGCAAGCCTACCCGACCGCACCTTCAGTCCTCCGCATACCCGACCGAACCACGGGACCCCGCGGGGAGAAGCTGCGCGAGGCTTCTGCGCACGCGCGGGCAGCGCAGGGGCGGGGCTCGAGCGGGCGGAGCCAGCCGTGCAGCTGAGCGAGGGCCGCGAGAAGAGAGCGGCGCGTGAGCTCCTGTTTGGGGCGGGCCCGGGGCGGGTCCGGGCGGGGCGGGGCCTGGCCGTCACGCGCAGCCCCGCCCCCTCGGCCGCAGTCTCTCTCCGGGAGGCGGCAACCGCTCCTGTTCGGCTCTTCCCGGTTGGCCGGGCCGGCTGCCCCTCGTTTCTCTGGTGACCATGGGGGACCCCAGCAAGCAGGACATCCTGACCATCTTCAAGCGCCTCCGCTCGGTGCCCACCAACAAGGTAACGGCCTTCGGGCGTGTTCAGCCTTGCCGGGCGTCCGTGCCGAACCCCGCGGGCGGCCCCCGCTGCGGCAGTGGCCGCGGCCGCGGGAGGAGGAGCCGGCCCGGCCTGTGACACGTCGCACTTGCGGCCGCGGCGCCTGGGCCTCGTCTGGGTCTGGGCCGCGCGCCGCCCCCAGCCTCAGCAAGGAGGAGGGGAGGGGGCGCACACCGGGGTCCTGGGCGGGGCGGGCACCTGGGGGTCCCGGGGGCGGGAGGCGACAGCCTCTGGGGGCCCCGGGGGCCGGGGGCACACACTTGGGGTTCCTGACACCGGGCGGGGGAGCACACACGGGGGCTGCTTTTGGGGGTGGCGGAGTGGACCCCGTGAGTTCCTGAGAGAGCTGGAGGCGAGCTCGGGGACCCCCCCCGCCGAGAGAGGGCTGGGGTGCACCCACAGGGGCGCCTGTGAGCGGGGCTGACACTGCAGGCCACCTGTGACCCAGCTGGGAAGCACGCACCGGCCCAGAGACTCCAGCTGGCAGCGCTGGGCGCTTGGGAAAGCTCGACTGGCCCCCTCCACACCCTGGAGCTGACCTCTGAAGTTCCCCTGGGGTGCCTGTTGGAGCCTGGTTGGTCCCCTGTGCCCTTTGATGGCAGCCTCAGTTTCCCTGTCTGATAAAGCGACTAAGTGGTCTCTGCTATGGCTTCCAGCTCATTCCTCTTGCTAAGAAGGCCCACCATAGACCCTTTCTCTGTCTTCCCTTTGGGTCTCTTTTGGAGGTTGGGGTTTTCCTTTTTTTTTTTTTTTTTGTCTCTAGAGGTGGTTCTCCTCTGTGACTTTTACAACTTTCGCGACTGGCTGGAGATGTTGTGATGACACATCGGGCTAAAGTGACACTCTCCACGGAGGATCACAGGTCAGGCTGGAACCTGGAGAGTGCAAAGGGCTGTCAGTGTATCAGCGTGGACTCTCCCTTCCCCTCTTGTGACAGGAGTTTGTCTGGTCCCCACTGTCACCTCCAAAGTGAACAGCTGTTAATAATCATGGTCATGAGTCATGATGTCATGGCATAGAAAGATCCTGAGTTTTATACAATTAGATGTCTTTAAGTCTTGGTGGAAGGGAGCCCATATTTTTACAGGCTATAAGAGGAGTGAGAAAGGAAAGAGTTTATTGGAGGTGATGCCTGATGAGTGTAGGAAAGTCAGGAGGAGAAAGGCTTCAGGAATTGTCTAATGCTAATTTCTTTGCTGCTTTCTTGATTTTCACATTAAGATTAACCTGTTTATAGGGTGTGGTTGCTGTATAGGTAGACAAGATTAGGATCTGCAGTTAGCAGTGTAGAAGTACATTTTTTGTCTGCTTTATCTCAAAACCAATGTGTATTCTCTTTGAATTCATCAAAGGAAAGTTGCCCTCTTTTAAATAAGAAGTCATCGTCTTTATGACACTTTTGAGGGACTTGGTGTGGGCTTGTTGGTGACTGTGTTACCTTGCGCAGTTTACTTGACCACTTTGTGCCTTCTTTCCTCCTCTGGAAATGGAGGCTTGAGCAGGATCTAACTCGGAGTGTTATTGGGAGGATTAAATGAGAAAATCCAAGAGAAGCACTTAGAGCCGTACCTGCACGTGCTAGTCGTCCAATAGCGTCAGCCATTTTTTTGTTAACGATCTTTATGACGAACAACACCCCCGTGGAAAATTTTATACTCTGTAATAGGATTAATACAAGCATGGGGCAAAAATACTTTTCCAGTAATGTTCCACAGTCTTGTGCTGCATTTCTTGATTAAGAATTTTCATTTGATTGTTAGTAAGAAACCATTACCTAAGTAAAGATGAATCTAGTTTTAATAATATGGAAGAGTTTGGGGGAACTCTTGGGGAACAGGAAGCATTTTTCAGAAGGGGCTATAAAAAAGAGCTGTAAGATACACAGGGAAGGTACTTCAAGAGGAACACCTGTGTTTACATTTAGACTATGTTATCTGGTTTCTTCATCTCATGGGTGATGAATATTTACTCTGGATCAAGGTTTTAACCCAGAAGGGTCAGTGTTCTAGTTTGAGAATCCTTCCTTGTCTCTATATGTTCCTCAGTTTTATTGCTTGATTGTTTGAGTTACTCTGTCAACAAGAATCCGTTGAGCAGCTGTAGTGAGCTGGTCGCTCAGAGCAGTGGGGCACTCCGATGGAGAGGGAGACCTCGGGGAGCTGCGAGTCTAGTGGGCGGAAGACAGATAACGGCCAACCCGGCCAGCCAAGCCATGTGAGAGGCAGTGTGGTGAGAGGTGAAGAGTGAGCTTTGGGGCATACCGCCTGGGGTCGAGTCCCCAAGATACCACTCCTCAGTGGTGATGCTTAACTTCCTAAGTCTTTAGTTTTCTCTAAAATGGGGATGAGAGGGACGCCTGGGTGGCTCAGTCAGTTGAGCGTCTGCCTTCTGCTCAGGTCGTGATCCCAGGGTCCTGGGATCGAGTCCTGCATCAGGCTCCTTGCTCAGCGGGGAGCCTGCTTTTTCCCTTAGACTGCCGCTCCCCCTGCTAGTGCTCGCTCGCTCACTCTCTGACAAATAAATAAGATCTTAAAAAAATTGTTTAAATAATAAAATGGGGATGAGAACTGCACTACATAATTTGCAGAGAATACAAAATGTGTGAGATGAAAATGCGGGGCCCTTGTTTAAAAAGTGTTGAGAATGTCAAGATGAGACAGCAGAGCATTAAGCAGCCATGGGCTTTTCTAAGTGTGGGGCCCCGGGCAGCCGCACAGTTCCCACACATGCCCAGAAGCTGGCCTCGATGGGGACAATAAGAATACCTCCTTACAGGGATGTTAGGATGGTTCGGTTGGTCAGTAGCGAGGCCTGACGGAATAAACACTCAACATTAGCTGTTGTTTCTCTAGTACTTACTCTCATCATTAGGCAAAGCAAACTGTTAAGCAGCGGCATTTCCTTTTCTTTCTTTTTTTCTGGCGGGGGCGGGGCAGAGGGAGAGGGAGAGAGAATCTTAAGCAGCGTGGAGCCCCACGTGGGGCTTGATCTCAGGACCCTGAGACCATGACCTGAGCCAAAATCAACAGTCAGGCGCTCAACTGACTGAGCCACCCAGGTGCCCACGGCATTTATTTTTCATCACCATAGGAAGTGATATTCTGCTTAGAAAACCATGTCTCAGCTTCGGTTTGGGGTTGCATATCAAAACCAAGTGCAGTCCCCACTCTTAAAGCACAGTCTCCTGCTCCAGCATTCGTGAGAGCCAGGCGTGTATTTCCTATTGCCTCCTGAACTCAGGCCCCACAGTTGCCGATCTCCAGCACCCCTGCGAACTGTCCCACTCCCTGTACTTGGTGTACTGAGTGCTTGCTTGTGCCGGGCTCAGTGCTCAGCTCCGGCGCTCGGGAGAGGGCCCCTGGCCTCGTGGAGCTACATTCTGGCAATTGCTCATCTTAGCTGGTGGGTCAGGAGGGTGCTGAGGCCAGCATGTTTAGAAGGCTCTCTGCTCTCTGCTCAGCCTTGCCGCCAGACCACCTCAGGAGGGATGCTCAGGTCTTGCCTGTTCTGGGCTGTGCGCCATCTCTGTTGTCACCCCTCCCCACAGGGCCGTTCCCTACACAGCCTTTTGCCACTAATTGCAATTTAAGATTCAGTTCCTGAGATTTCAGTTGCCTCTTGGACCCTGTCTTTTTTCTGGGGGGCGGGGGGGAGCCTTTTGTATCCTGTCCTTGCTTCCAGCTTTCAACTTACAACTAATTGTCTTGCCTGCTAGACTGTGGGCTCCATACATGGGCTCCATGCGGGCTGACCCTTCCTGAACCACTTTTGTGCATGCCAGATACTTACTTGGTAGTAAGTGCACAACTATTAGTTGAGAGAGTGGGGGGTTACAGATGGCCTCTTGCCCAGGGGGCAACCCAGCACATGGGCAGGGTTGGTCGCACTGTCTGGTGTCCCATGGAAGGGGATTCCTTACTCTACGTGCATAGGGCATCTTCATTTCTGATGTCCTGGTGTCCTTCTCTCCCACTGCTCAGTGAGCACATGGCCTGGCAGGGGGTGGGGACGCGGCAAGTGTTTGTGGAGTCTGGGAGACCAGATGGTTCTGACTACCTCAGTGCCTGCCATAGCGTCTGGTGTACAGCAGGCAATCCAGAAACACTGAATGGAATTGGATGGAAGTGAATGGCCTGGCACCTTCCCTGTCAGGTGTCTCTCCAACCCCACTGTCCATGCATACTTAATGTGAGCCTGCCACAGTGAGGGGCTTTGGACAGTCTGCTCATGTTTTCACTTTGGTGTTGCCTTCAGAAGGCCAGAAGCCAGATCTTTCTCGATGACTAGAGTTGGAACAGCCTTCACATAGGAGGCTCCGTCTATAAGGTGTATCTAAAATATGGGGCTCTTTTTCTGGAAAAAAATGAAGTGTTCTCTTATTAGTGGAATTTTCTGACTTTATTAATTATAAATAGTAATTTCCATGACAAACTCTGTATATCTTAAAGTCATTTTATGCTCCTGTTGCCAGATGCTATCAGATGAAGAACGTTTGGCTTCAGTCAGTGTTGAGGGAGGAAGGCCCTGGGTCTCACGAGGTTGCCGTCCTGCTGTCAGCTGGGGCTGCCCTCTCTGAAGCCTGGGGCTCCCGCTCCCAAGCTCGCTCACGTGGAGCTTAGCCGGCCTCCACCCCTCACTTGGCTGTTGGACCCGTGGCCTCAGTTCCTCACCACTTGAGGCTCTCTACTGGGCTGCTTACGAGTCCTCCAGCCATGGCGGCTAGCTTCCCCCAGAGCCGGTGATCCAAGGGAGAGAGAGAGCAAGAGACAGAAAGGACGCCACAGCGTCTTTTGTACCCTAATCTCAGAAATGACCTACTGGCACTTCGGTCTCATTATTGGTCACAGACCACCCCGCGCAAGCGAGGGTGGCTCCCACACCTGCTGTCGCGTCTGCTGGGGGCAGAAGGAGTACATGTGAGGGCTGCCACCGGCTAAAGGGCCGCAAGGCCTTGAGTGTTCCCAGCAGGGGGACATCCTGGCTAGTGTGTGAGGGCCTGGTAGGAGCCCTGTTGATGCTTAATGAATGTAATATAGTTATGCATAATAGGATAATAAAAGAAATAAAAGTTAAGGTTTAAAAAAATCTAGGTGAGTTTTTTTTAAAAGATTTTATTTGAGAGAGAGAAAGAGAGCATGAGCGGGGGGGGGGGGCAGAGGGAGAGGGACAAGCAGACTCCCCACTGAGCAGGGAGCCCGACGCGGGGCTTGATTCCAGGACCCTGAGATCATGACCTGAACCAAAGTCAGACGCTTACCCAACTGAGCCACCTGGGTGCCCCTAGGTGAGCGATTTCATAATAACCAGTTTAAAAGTGTAAAGGTGAAGTCACTTTCAAGCTAAACTCTATATTGTATCCTGTGAGATGCCCCTTTTGGCTAATATGAATTAATTAATAACTGGATTTTGAAATTTTCTTTCAGGTGTGTTTTGATTGTGGTGCCAAGAATCCTAGCTGGGCAAGTGTAACCTATGGGGTGTTTCTTTGCATCGACTGCTCAGGGTCACACCGGTCACTCGGCGTTCACTTGAGTTTTATTCGGTAAGTGTGTCTTCTCTTACCATGGGTGGGAGTGATCCTGTTGTTTCACAGGTCTTTTTCCCCTTTATCCTTCATGTTTGCTTTGACGTCAAGTAGAATGAGAGGCTGGCTATGAGTTACAGAGATTTAAATCTTTATAATTAGGTGAACAGGGAAAATGAATTATTTTCTCTTCAGTTACTGTTCTGTAGAGCTCGGTGTCAGGGACCTGAGGCTGCGGTGCTGACAGTGGAGTCTAGAATGGAGGATTTGAAACATTCTTCTTCTCCCTTTATCACCTTCTAATAACCGGCAGCTCAGAGGAATCTTACTGTGACACGCTCGTGATAGAAGGGGATCGGGGTGCTGTGGGTCCATCACACGCCCCATCAGGAGGAGAGCTGATGTAAAGGGCGAGAAGCCCTCCTTATAGCATGGGTATACATCCAGCCCAGTCCTGCAGCCCTGGCTCCCAGGGTCACTATCTCACAAAGCCTGAGTGGGTGATTTTTGTATGAATTTTAGTGGCAGTTTCAAATGCTTGTAGAAAGAAAGTCTTTCTTTTTTTATCTGCGGACGTGGGCTGCATTGGCTCCTTCTGGCAAGTATGTATCTTCTACTCAAAACAGTCTGGCAGCAGCCTTGATGGGTCTTTGGTGTGTACCCCCTTGAACACAGCCCTACAGTCCAGTGGGGGGGCCAAAGTGCCCTTGTGTGAAGTAAAATAAATGGAAATAATAAAAGGATCCCTAGGAAGGCTCAGGACTTAGAAGCTGAGCAAGGCCTGCCCTTCAGCCCCCATGGGCCTTGGCCAGACCACGTTCTGCAGGGCACCCCTGAGCAGCCCTGGCTCAGATCTCCATTACTGCTGACCCCCCTCTAACCAGTTCATCTGTTCCCCTGCCGCTTCTTTTTCCAGGGAAGGAACCAACAGAGGCAGGCAGGCTCTTCGGAATTGTGGCGAGCAGTTTTATTTTATATTATGACTTAAGGAATATTGATACAATGTGATTACTATGAAGAGCATTAGTTCCGGGGACTCCTGGGTAGCTCAGTCGGTTAAGCGTCTGCCTTCGGCTCAGGTCATGATCCCAGGGTCCTGGGATCAAGCCCCCACATCAGGCTCCCTGCTCAGTGGGGAGTCTGCTTCTCCCTCTGCCTGCCACTCCCCTTGCTTATGCTTGCTCTCTCTCTCTGTCAAATAAATAAATAAAATCTTAAAAAAGAAAAGCATTAGTTCCTATAAGATAAAATCAGTTATAATTTTGATTGGGTATTTTATATGATGGCATAAAAACTGTGTAGTAAAAGTAATAGCTTAATTTTCTTTTTTAATATATTAACTTAAAAAAAACCTTTCCTGTTGTACTTTCGTGAGTTCTTTTTTCAGAAATCAGTTCGTAGAGGCATGATGGGCTAAATATTTATAGCTGTATAACTCCATAAGTAATTAATTAGAAAAGGGAGTTCTTTTGCATGTTCTTCCTGGTTTCAGAGTATCTATCCATTTCTTGTCTTTTCTTTTTTCTTTTAAAGATTTTTTAATTTTTTTATTTATTTGACAGAGAGAGAGACAGCGAGAGAGGGACCACAAGCAGGGGGAGAGGGAGAGGGAGAAGGAGAAGCAGGCTTCCCACGGAGCAGGGAGCCTGATGTGGGGCTTGATCCCAGGACCCTGGGATCATGACCTGAGCTGAAGCCAGATGCTTGACTGAGCCACCCAGGCGCCCTGTCTTTTCTTTTTTCTTAGACATGCTGGTCCCAGAATATTTTGAATACACTATCCTGTTCTTGTCTCTTTTTTTAAATGTTGACGTATTTACTTGCCAAGGCAAATTTCTTTTTAATGTCCTCCCCGCCCCCCCAACCCCTGACCAGCCCCCGATCAGTGGTTACCAGTGAACATAAGACAATTTATAATTGGCTGTCTTCCTTTGTTCTTCCTCTCTTCCTCTCAGCTGAATCCCGCCCATTATAATCTGGCCTTCCCTTTGCCTCACCACCAAAGCACACCTCCAGTTTAAACCATTCCAGGAAATCTGACGTGTTCCTGGGTGAGGGAAGGACCGACCGGAAGCCTAATGAGGCTAGACAGCAGAGTCTGCTTGGGCTGCTGCCGGTTTAATGACTAGTCTTTAAAAAGTCAGATAAATATAACCATGAATCACAATATTTATAAGTGATTCAAAAACAGTTGTTAAAAAATTCTGTATAACTGGAGGCCAGCAGTCTAGGAGTTGGGCAAGAGTAGGTCAAGGATGATAAGGGTAGGATTTTTGTTTTTGAGAGGTGGAGGTTTGCTGTTTAGACATTTTTTATTGGTTAAAACAATTACAAACATTAGCCCAGTGGGAAAAAAAATCCAAGCAGTCCCAAAGCTCGTAAAGTAAGAAGTGAAAAGTCCTTCCTCTCAAATCCCTTTCTCCTCTTCTTCCTCTCTCCACCCCCAGCAGACACACACATACATACCCACACATACCCCCATGCTCACTGTTGTGCTCCCCAGGCATGAACAGATGGCTTGGGTGGAATGTTTATTTAAATGGAGATTTGGGTTTTTTTCAAGTCAACAGTTTTACAAAGGAAAAAATTTATGAACTGTTGCTTTTGCCAACCAACAGGGGAAAGGTGGGTTAGGCATCACAGAAATGGCCAACCACCACTTGGAGCAGAGTGGACGTAACTGGACTGGCCCCAGCCCACCGCGCCCTGGGGCTTGCCCTCTGCACCGTGCTCCTCTCCCTTCAGCTCTTTTCTTCTCAAGTTCACTGTTAAGTATTTCATGAGCTTATGAAAGGTGAATGGAATCTAGTCCTCCCTGCAGTGGGCTGGGGGTGGGCAGGGACAGGCTGAAATAGAGCATGAACAAGAGGACAGACTGTCAGGTGCCACCCAGGACACGGAAACAGTACCGCATCTACTTCTGAGGAAGATTAGTCCAAATTGAAGGAGGAGGTAACTTACACTTGCAATCAACCTCAAAGTTTCGGTGAGATTTTGATAATGGAAACAAGGCAGGGAAAAGGAGGTCAGCACTCAGACTTTAAGGAAAGGTACAGAGGCTGGAAAAAGGGACATGTGTAGTAGCTCATTTTTATATGCGTAGGAAAATGAGGTGATAAAGGATTCCAAGGGCGAAGATTTGGCTGACATTGGGAAGGGTCTTGACTGCCAGGCCGGAGCCTGTCCTAACTGCTGAGGCGTTGAAGGGTGAACACGGGCAGTCTGCTCTGGGCCCCAGGCGCAGCAGGTGCCCAGAGACACTGGCCTGGCAGTGCGGGGTGGGCGTTAGGAGAGAGGGCGCTGCAGCCGGCTGCTGGGGGCCCGAGTCCTGGCACCATCCTCGACTGCCTCTCCTTGTCTCATTTCCTTCCCTTGAAGGAAGGGCCGGGTTGTCTGGTGCCTGCCCAGTGGATGCGAGAGGAGAAGGTCTTGTGATGTGAGTGTAGGAAGGCAACACCTCCCATGGCCTTCTATCGAGCAGTCAGGCCAGTTACAAACAGCTGCCTGCCTGGAAGCTGTTCCCGGGCTTGTCTGCGAGGAAACATCTAGATTAACTGTGATAAATGGGTAAAATTCCATTTAAAACTTTTCTTTCTTTTTTTTAGATTTTATTTATTTATTTGAGAGAGAGAGACAGATAGTGAGAGAGAGCACAAGTGGGGAGGAGAGGGAGAAGCAGGCTCCCTGCAGAGCAAGGAGCCTGATGTGGGACTCCATCCCAGGACCCCAGGATCATGACCTGAGCTGAAGGCAGACACTTAACCAACTGAGCCACCCAGGTGCCCCTAAAACTTTTCATTGCATGATAACTCTGTCATGTTTATTTGGTGAGATTCCTTCTGATTTCTAAAATCTAAATGTTCTACTTAACGAAAAAATACTGACTTTGGCAGCCACTAGTGAAGCTAATTCATGCAGGGTTTTTTTTAAGATTATTTATTTGAGACAGAGAGAGCAAGTGAGCACGAGGTGGGGAGGGGCAGAGGGAGAAGCAGAGTGAGAGCAGGGAGACTGATGTAGGGCTCGATCCCAGGACCCTGAGATCTTGCCCTGAGCCACGCAGGTGTCCCTAATTCATGCACCGTTAAGGAGGTCCTGTCTTGACTCATAAGGATTGTAGAGGTCATGGGAAACCTGTTTTCTCATTTACCTAGTTGGTTAACTAGAGCTACTTTGTTAAAAGGACACTAATTCTTCAACTTTTCTTACTTCCTCTGCTTTACGTTTTGCTTAGCATTGTCACAGACTATTTATTACCTTTCACACATGTCTTAATCTAAATTAAAGGTAAGAAATGACCTAGAGTAAGTCACCTCCTCGTGTCGGGCACTCATGAGCAATGAAGTTTCCTCTTAAGATTGACTATTGTCACAGTCCACTAGCATCAAAACCTTTTATTTTGAAAGTCCAGTGTAATGAGAGAGAATCCCTGGCAGGCCAGGTCAGGAACAATTAGTTTCAATCTTCGTTTCTAAGGAGCATGTAGAGAAATATTTGGCTTTATTTATTTTTTTTTTTTTTTAAGATTGTTTAAGACCAAAAGTTGTAAGGCTGAATAGCCAACCCAAGGACTTGCAGCCCCAGTTTTAGGACATAATTAAGGCAGCCCAAATTCAGATACCCGTTATGTGCCTATGGTAGGAGTGTGGCAAAAAAATATGGGACATCCCTGTCCTCTGGAGCTTGCTGCTTCTGACACAGCGTGACGGGGTTAACATGGTCATGGTGATGGTGATGCAGAGAATTTTAGCCATATGGGATTTACCATGAGCCAGGCACTTTCTAGATATTAGCTTATTTGATTCCTACAAGAATGAAATAGATCATATTATAATGATCACTGCTTTGCACATGAGGAAAGTAGGCGCAGAGAAGTTCAGTAAGCCACTCTAAAGTCATACAGCGAGTCGTGGCAGAGGTGAGATTTGTTGTCTCTCAGTTGGTCTCCAGAGACTGTGCTGGTAACTGCCACCCTATGACAGAATGGGATGGGGCTGGTGTCCGACTCGGACTGAGGGAGAGCCATGGAAACGGGACTGAGCAAGATCTTATCAGAAAAAGGATTTCAGAACAGGGTATGTAATTTAGTCACATTGCTTGGTCCTCAAGTTCTTCAAGATTTTATTCTTGTTTTTGGGAAATCTGTTGCTTATAAAGGGTGGATTAAATAAAGAGTGGATTAAATTTTACTTTTTATGTATTGCTGCGAAGTGGATTTGTCCTATGGATGTGTGATAATATGTATTAGTATTATTATTAACCTTAAAGTAGCTATTGGCTTCAAAATAACATTGTAACATTTACAAAGGTTAAGCAATACAAAGAGGCCTAGAAATTAGTACACAGAGGCGCAGCATAAAAGAACTTTCGGAATCTGAAACCTCTTTCTACCTTCCTATTTTGTAGAGGGTACTCTACCTATACCCATTAAAAAATGTCCACATTCTTTTACAGTTAGTGTGGGACAAGCTGTTCTTGAATACGGGACAGCCTTGCTTTTTGCTCATACCTATGGATTTGATATAAAGACTTCTAACATAGTTGTACTATCATATCTTGCTTTACAGTGATCACTCGGAGAACTTTTATTGTTGAGAAATACAGTTACTGCCTTTCCCTTTCCCTGATCTGGTCTCAGATTACAGATAAGTAGGGCATAAGGTGTGGTCGGGGAGAAGACACTTGGAGTTTTCCCTTTAAGAGCACTAAATCCTGAGTTTTCTCCCCTCCCTGATGGTGGTGACGTTGGGTTCCATCCGACAATAAGCTGTGAGCATCCCGGAGGCTCCCATTAGGTGTCACGCTGGACAAATGGATAGCTGATCTGAAAAACTCAAGCAGAGACACGTTACCGATGTTTAGATCAGAAGCCACTGAGGATGCGAGGCGAGGAGTCAGAGTGGTTCCGGCATCCCCGGGAAGCTTGTCATGTCCCTGCGCCCTAGAAGAGAAGCTGGCTGGAGTCCGGGCAGCACAAGGTGCTGCGGGCCTGGCCTGACCTGCCTGTGGTCAGGCATGGAGGGGAGCGGGCAGCCGGCCCACCGGACACTTGGCCACTGGGAAGGACGAGGGGGGCCGGAGCTGCCGGCACAGCTGTCACACGCCCTGCAGGCCCAGCGTCCCGTGTCACTGTTAACACAAGCCTAGAAGTCTTCAGGATCCTGAAAATCACAGAACTCTTGTTTTCCAAAGTGTAGTGGCTTGATTCTGGGGGAAAGATGTGTTAACGTTAGCGAATATTCTTTCCATTTAGATCTACAGAGCTGGATGCTAACTGGTCTTGGTTTCAGCTGCGATGCATGCAGGTTGGAGGAAATGCTAACGCAGTAAGTTCACCTCAGATGTGCTGTTTCCCTTCTTGCATAAATACGTGTTAGACTAGGAAAGAAGCTCGGTGTTTGCATGTATGAGCTTGGGGGGGCCCTATCCGATAGTAAAGGCTGGAAGGGCGTGGCAGTGGATGGCCCTGGTGACTTGTTTATCCCCAAATCTGTGAAATACCCTGTCCACACAAAGCTCTGGGCTAGGTGTGGGGATATAGTGACGAACAAGACAAATGAGATCCCCATTCCTAACTTAGTAATTTCTGGGTAAAAAAATAACTTTTTAAGTGTCCAATTAGCTTAGTTTTACAAGAGCAGATTTCCCTAACCCCTCTTACAAACCTAAATAAGGATCCTCAAATATGTAAAACTTCATTTACAAATTTCAGTATATCTGATTAATCAAATTGGGTTGCTCATACAGGTTTTTAGAACACCTGGCTGAATTAAGATATGAATTCTGTAATTCATGTCTGTATATATGGACCCTCATGAGGTGGTTGAACACAGTTTCCTCTAAGTGTATAAGCATTTGTTTTACCGCTTTGCTTATGCTGCGGTTTCTGTTCATGAAGAGATAGTTCTGGGCAAGGTGAAGGTCAGCATAGCTCCACTAATTGGAATAACCAATTCCAATTAGTGGAATTCCAACTGAAATGAATTTCTCATGAACTAAAAGTAGTCCAGAGTGGAAAGTGTCCCCTAAAGTAACAACCCAGAATGACAGAGGTGCTTTAATGGAGGAACGAAGGGCCAGCGATTTTATTTTGTAACGCGAGTCTCATGTCCAGTTTTACTGAAATACTAATGTTGCGTGTGTGGAAGGCATTCCTTTTACAAGAAGAGGTTTATATTAAATTGTGTGGTTTATTTTATTTTATTTTATTTTAAAGATTTTGTTTATTTATTTGACAGAGAGAGACACAGC